GCAGGAAGGCTAATGCAGAATGGGTATCACAGAAGGAACCGTGTTTGGGTTGGCACCCCTTTGTGGATTTCAGAGATAATCCATAAACTAAATTTATCCAGTCAATCATAAAAATCCAGACAAAACCAACTTTTGCTGGTAGTATATGTACAATGTATATAGACCATCCCTTTTTAAACTTTTTTCTTGATCCTTGTCATTTCATATGTGAGGTTATTTTAGGAATAGTTTTGGTGCATTTTAAAATACAATGAGCTAATACATCATAGAAGTCCTACCAATCTATATAGCATTTTGCATAACATGCTGCAATCTTGGCTAAGAAATTGGTTAAACTTTTTATTTTTAATCAATACTTCTTTGCAGTGCTTTTAAAATTACAAATGTGAACAATGTAACATTGATCAGTTAAGCTTCTGGCAGCCACACATTGTGGAGATTGTAGAATACCCTGCAACTGTATGGCAGCGTTTTACTGTGAACAGATTTTTATTTTTTTTTTAATTACTATTTTTTTCCTGCTGTGAATTCAGTCGTGGACCAAAGTTGCTATAGTAACTATTTGAGATGTATTACAACATGCTGTATTTAATCAGCCAGTTGTCCAGAATAATTAATGCTGAAAGGTAATTAAGGTCTGGTTCTGTTGTTCTGTCTAGTGAAAAGCATTAACCCTAACTTTCTATTCTTAATTTTATAATGTCTAAAGATTCCAAAACTTAAATTGTTGCATCATGAGCCAATATTATTACAATATCCAAACCACAGTGATTTTTGTCTTCCTGGGGCTCGGGATACAAGACAGATCCTGAAATAGATCAGAATTTGAAGTTCGTATAAGATGGCAAGAATTAAACTGAAATGATGGTGGGAAATTGTGTGAACAGTCTTGTTGCTATACTTTTAAACCTGAAAGGCTGAAGGTCACTGAAATGGGCTTTGAGTAGGGTTTAGGAATACAGAATATAAGCGATGGAGACTGGGAATCTCAGATAGCATTGGACATGAGTTAGGTTCATTAATGCTAATAGGAAATACAGGAGCTAGAGAAATGTCAGAAGTAGCTCATATCTTATTTCTGATCCTAACTTTGCAGAAGTGTGGAGGGTGAGATGGGTTGGAAATAGCAAGTATATCTGCTTCTTGTATAAACCTGCTCTATTTATATATACTAGGGGTGAGATAAAAGAGCAGCTCCATAGTAAGTTAGTGCTTTCTTTGTACTGAATGACTCATGCAGACTTTCCTATCAGAGGCTGCCCTGAGACTTTCTCAGAGAAGTTTATCTCTGAAATTTAGGTAAGATTTCTTCCTTGAGAAAGAGACTGCCTTTTAGTGAACTGAAGGAACTTGAAAGACTCAGGTCATCTCTTCAGGTGGTATGTAGGCCATACATGATACTCATTTGTTTAGGAATTAATTTTGCCTCGTTGGTGTTACATTATTATTAACCGCAACACAGGAGTGAGTAAAGACAGACGTTACGTTCTTTTGAACTTACTATTGGGTAAGCCTTTCTTCCTGGAAGTGGGTTCTTGGAATTCTCTTACTTTCCCTCCTTTCTCCCAGTTCTTCTCCCCCAGCTCCCACCAAGACAGAAGCTGGAAACCAATGCTGAAGTTAAAATGCCTCTCCTTAGGTGCTGTGGGCAGCCTGTAGTCTCTCTTGCTGGTTCCTGAAGGACAGTGTTTGTGTCCTGCAGCTGACTGGAAGGATTTCTTAACATTGTCTTGTCAGTGCCCAGCCAGAATGCATTCTGAATACAAAATCACCATCTTTTACTGTAAAGTGAATGGGGACAGGAATGTTACTACCCTGTATCTCTTGGGACATGCATCTCTCTTTGGGGTACAGACTATGTATTTAATTCTGTATTGTGTTGGACTATTTCATTAATTTTGGAAAGCTAAAAATGGTTTTAAATTCTTCAGGTTTTTGAAAGAAAGTTGGTTTCCTGGTGGTTGCTAGCCAATTAGAAATCATGCTTTCTTCTAATAATTACCTCTTAATGCAGTTCTGCAGAGCATTTCCTTATGAAGTCTTCACATACATATACTTTAACATGTCCGTTTGTTGCAAGTGGAAAATTTTATGTACTGTACGTAACATATTGAGCAGTTGAGTTATGTTTCTATAAAAGCATTTCTTGTACGCAGTCCTTAATTACCAGAACTTAAATATAAAACTTTGTGACGAGTAACTCCTCTGTGTGCTGCCGTTTAATCCTATGCTTCCTATGGTTATGGCTGAAAATCATGCAGATTATCAGTGTGCTAATGGAGTTAACTGTGTTTCTAGCCCAGATGTCAGAGCATTTCTTCAGATGGATAACCCAAAACACCAGTCAGATCCATCTGAAGATGAAGATGAAAGGAGCAGTCGGAAGGTAATGAAACAGAAGTCAGTCTTCTAAATTTTAGCTACTTGAGGGCAATCTTAGGTGCATTATTTACTGAAGATTACAGTTTGGTTTTGCAATAAGTCCCATCCATGCTCTTTTAAACAAACCTGTTCCACTGTGGGCTGTAAAATATTTTTCTGTCAGATGTGAACTGCAGAGAGGTAAAAGTGATTGCTAGCTTTGTCTTGCTTCTTCCCCTCTTGCTATATGGTTTAAAGAAACATAGCTTTAGTCATAACTTAGCTGTCACAGTTTTTGCAGTCTCTTCAAAGATTCTTGCTAAGAACATCTGGCAAGGAGCAGGGGAGATTGAATGTTTAATTGTCTTTTTGTTTGCTTCTGTGCTCTTCTGTTTTTAAAGCGGGGGAGAACTATAATTTTCTCAGTGGTTGGGAGGGGGAAATGCAGCCTTGCTAAAAGACACTCAGGAGCAAGGCTGGATTGGATTTCATTTCACATGTAACACTGTGAGGTGTGAAGCCCCTTTTGTCACAAACAACTGCATGGCTAGATGGATTCTCTGAAAATTAGTTCACAGCCTCCAGAAAGAGTGCGGTTTGAAAAAAGTAGTAGTTCTAGGAAGGCAGAAGTGCCATATTAAGCTTGTTTTCTCTGTGACTTACTTCTTCGCATACAGATGTGATCTTAGTACTTCTCTTCTTATTCAACGCCTGTTAAAGATGTAAGAGTTGTCATTTTGATTTGTGTGTGATCCACAGAAGATTTAGTCTTTCCTGAAAGTTTCACTTCCAAAGATTCTAGTCTTTGCTGCTTTTTTTAAGTGCTTGGTAGCGCTGTGAGCATACAGCAAAATTCTAACTTAAAATACCAGTTTCCTCCTCCTTTGAGAGGTATTTTAAGGAATGTGGAATGATCTAAACCTTTTGTGGAAAATCAATGATGTGTCATGCCACAACAAATTCCAAAATAGGAAGAGCGCTAATGCATAGTGGCCTGGACCATACTTTTTGATAGAAAATTCACCTTCTCATAGTTACTGTAAATGATGAAGCTGGACAATAAGGAACAAAAACAAGCCTTCAAAAAAAATCTTTTATGTAATAGCTTTTAAAAAAACTATTCAATATCATTGTGTGCTTGGTTCTTATTAGTGAATAGTAGCATCCAGTGCTGCTGTCAGGGAATTCTCTGCTTCTGTAGGAGTACTGGGTTTGTGATGCCTGCTAGCCTGTCCCTGGGTAACATGTATGTGAGCGCACTTTATCCTTCTCTGATAAGTCCAAAACCACGAGGGTACAAATACTGCTTTTTTTATTCAAAAACATAGTGGAGGAAATTACCTAAGTGACAGTGGCTTCCTCTCTCTCCTGTAATTGACAAATTCTGTCTGGGTGTGTACTGGCAAGATTCATGTCATTCCTGGAACTGAGAGAGTTAACCTGTAATGTCAGGATAGAAAAGGTTGGTAATGTTTTTCTTGGAGTGGGGAGAATGGTCACTTCTGTTTTGTTAAAAGCACTGTGTCTTTCATTAATTATTCTTGCATAAACAGTGTGGTTTAAAATTATTTTATTGGTAAGATCTTGGAAAGTTTGGAATAAAAGGTAGAAAATACATTCCTAGGGCAAATACAGAGAGGGTTAAGTTCTGGATAAGGAACAAGTTGGGTTTTGAAATGCTTTCAATTTTTTATTCCTAATCTTGTCCTCTGTGGCTGGACACAATTATTTCATTACCTTCATCCTTGAATGTGATGTGTGTAGGAATAATTTGTGACAAGGTCACGATGGCCAGATATTTCAACTTAGAAAGTTCCCAATCTGGATGTTAGATCTCTTTAAAAATCTAATGTAACGAGTGTAAAGGTACAGAGTGAGCAAATTAGTAGAGTATTTTAAAATTAATATTGGTTGAAATAGAGAATTAAAAAAAAGTATTGAAAGTAAATCTTTTTGTCTCTCCCAACAGTTAAACTCTACCTCACAGAATATCAACTTGGGACCATCTGGAAATCCTCAGTAGGTTTCAATTAAAATGAATGAAAATGTAATTCAATTTAATCTAAAATTTTTATTTTAATGAGATTTTATTAAAATTAATTTTAAAACCTGAAAAGTTAGATTGAATGTAATTGTTAATAGTATGAAAAGTTCTTTGGCTATATACCTTTATTGATTGGCACTGCTCGGGAGGAAGCAAAACATTGACTCTTGTGCTAAATAAACAACTATGTAAAAAACTTCCTTTTCAGCTTCAGATTTTGTTAGTCTGCTGTCCTTTTACTTAAGGATGCTGTAGCAAAGATGACCTCTCTGTCTTGGGAGTGATCCCACAACTGTTAAGAATGTGAACAGTTTCTGAAAACAAGTTTGTTTTACTGCATGTCAAAGAAGCAGCTTGCCTTGTTGATACTACAAACCTAGTTACTGCAGTCATAACTCACTTCTGTTTGGTGTCTTCCGTACAGTTTCTGTTCTCAGTTCTGTGTGTGTCCTATGTGTTTGTCATCTAGGAGATGACTGCTATTTTGGTTTTGCTTTCCTCACAGATTTGTTCTGGACTAACAGGAGGAAATGCTTAATAGATTGCAGTAAGAAATGAAATTTAAGAGTACTTCCCTTCAGGGGCAAAAAATGGAGAGGTGTATGGTGATGTAACTGTTGTTTTGGAATTACAAAACATGGATAATTGTTTTGCTGACGAAAATATCTCTGAATTGTATTTAGGAAAAAGTAGGGGAATCCTGGGAAAAACCAAAAGGAGTGGTAATGTGGGAAGTGGAAAAACTAAGAGTGAATTGATAGGTACACATACAGAAGAAGAAGGTGTTAAGGCCTCCCTCCTCTCACTGTAATTTAAAATGAGGGAAGGAATGAATGGAGAGAAGGATGGGATAAGCAAAGAGAGAATAGATAACAAACTTGATCGTTCCTTCCCTTATGTAAGCTTGAGAATCCAGTTGACCCTCTGGAAATGAGAAATAAGCTCCAGGAAAAGTCATGGGGAAATGAAGACTTAAAAATAACAAGAAACTAGACTGTGGAGAGTAAGAGAACAGTTTTGCTCCTCCTTTACATCTTAAGCTTTCAAAATAAAATAAACTCAAAGAATGCAACTTGAACGCTTTCCATGGAGGAAAATGGAATTGCAAAATGAAGAGGAGTCGTCTCCGAGGGAAGGCCTGCAGAAGTCTAGATGTTGGGTGGAATGAAGATAAAGGAGGGTGCTTCTTCTCACAGTGCAACTCGAGTGCTACACTAGACTGCTGTATAGCTATAAAGCTTGTAATTTCTGCCCAGATGACCTGTCTCCTTCCTAAATGTCTTTCAGTGCTAAACCAACAGACTTTGATTTCCTGAAAGTTATTGGGAAAGGCAGCTTTGGCAAGGTGAGCTTTCTTATTACTGTGTCTTATCCTGGTGCAAGGATGCTAGCTGGTGTCTTGTGCATCGTAACTGTTGGCTAGAGACTTGGCCAGAGGTTTTGGAAGTGGTATTGGTCTAGGGTAGCATATAAACTGTCATATTTGATCCCTTTTGTTGCTTCTTTATAGCCCTGCCATTTTTTCCCCTGGTGTGGCTGCCTGGATCGCTTGGTGGGAGTAACAACAGGGAGTGTTTCCCTTTCTTGATAAGAGCAATAGGGATCCTCTGTTTCCCCCAGAGAGGAAGGGAGGTACCCCTGTGCTTATGCAGCAGCTGGAGTACAAATTGTGCATTTCCCTTTGCTGGCGTGGACTGTTTTGTCAAACCGCTAATGCTATGGAGCATTGTGAGCAACAGCCCGTTGAAAAGTGACTTAAATATTGATGTTCTACAAAGATGCAACAGAGAATCCCTCTTGAGATCTTTGGTTTTGGTTATTTTTCAAGTTGTTGTTTTGCACTAAATTATCTTTAAAACTTAGAAAACCAGCTGAAACTCATCTTGATAGAGATTCAGCAGGTCATGGGATAGAAATGCTAAAATTCAGTCTTTCGTGATACCACTATCGTGACAGATTTTTACTGAACTGTAAACTCACTCTATTGGTGATTATATTGCTGACTGACTATATTAGAAGCAGAGAAACTGTATTGTGAAAAAATAGCATGAATACTTTCAAGTTGTGCAGAAATTACTAACAGAATATGAACTGCAAGAATCACATTTCTGCATACCAATTTCACAGGTTCTTCTTGCAAAACGAAAATTGGATGGGAAATACTATGCTGTCAAAGTGCTGCAGAAAAAAATTGTTCTTAATAGGAAAGAGGTAAAGAGAAGTATTCTTTTTCCACCCACCTCCCTTCCTTTTTCCCTTAATTACAAATCGATCATGTTTACTTATTGATCTTTTACTTCCTTACAGCAAAAACATATTATGGCTGAACGTAACGTGCTTTTGAAAAATGTGAAACATCCATTTCTGGTTGGATTACATTACTCATTCCAAACAACGGAAAAGCTTTACTTTGTCCTGGATTTTGTTAATGGAGGAGAGGTATGTGGTGGTTGTGTTTGGATCTGAGTCTCTTCACTCTGCTAATTCTAGGTGGGAGGAACAAAACGATCTTTTACTTTATTGTGATCATCATTCTCCCAGTTTTGAAAATCCTATTATCTGCTGTTACTACAGACTTCTATTGCTAGATGGACCCTGTTGCTGCTCTTACCTACAACTTAAATCCCAAGTTTATTCACGGTTGTCAGATACAAATACTGTATTTTACCATGACATAAATTTATCTTTATTAAGAATTAATCTCATGTTGATGTCTTTCACCATGTAAAACTATTTTCCTCTTGCATGTGCTTTAGCTGACATGCTTGTATTTCAAAAGTGAAAGGAAGGAAACTGGCGACTGAATTTACTACAGTGGTATTATTTGGGACCTTGGGATTATTCTGTAACTTTGCATGGTCTAATTACTTATTGCCAAATAGCCTTATCCTCAGAATTCTTTTCCTTGAAGCAATGCTATTGAATCTGAAGAGCCATTGAGTAACTTGGGGGAAACCTTGTGAAAGAAATAGAGAAGGTCTGTACATGTTTAAATAAGATGTTCTGGAGCAGTTTGTCTTTAACTAGGGACCTGTTGCTTTTCAAAGTACCTAGTACTTCCAGGAGTGCTCACAAACTGTTTGAATAGTCAACACTCATGAGAAAGGTATAAAATGTTGTTTCCGTTCCTTCAAAAGGTTTTGTGGAAAATCAAGGGTATTGTAGACTAATAATACCTGGACCTATCTAGGAAATCAGTGGTGATTGAAGAAAACAGTGTAGTGAAAAATCATTGTACCAATGGAACTATCGAACATACGTGTTTTAAAGAAGAACTGTTTGTCTTGTCACTTGCTGTGTTTTCAATTTGGTAATTTATTGGTGTAAAATCTATACGTTTCAGAAGGTCTTACAGGTGCTTAAAACAGAATAGGAAAGAAGAATGAGACAGGATACTGTTGTAGATGATAAAACTCTGGTAGCTGAAAGAGCACAGGAGAAGGGGTAGAATTTAGATAGTTTGTTTTGGCATATCTCAAGGTTTACTATTGTGTCACTGCAGCTGGATATACACAAACAAGTATAAAGTGTGCTGAATAAACCAGGATGGAGTATGAACGGGGCTATACATTAGTTCGTGTGGCCTACTATCAGCACTTAGGATGCTCCTAGAGCTGATGGTCTGACCCCTTTAAGTGTCAGAGTTGGGATAAGATGGGCTTTTCTCTTGTCTAATGTACTGTCATCTTATTTAGACTGTATTAGCAAACTCCTGGTTTGCTTTACTCTGAATTCCTGGCCACAACTTAGTTTGGTGTTCTTCCAGGCAAACTAAAATAAGGTTCAAAACACCTTTCAAATTTGAATGAAGTGCTTGAAGAGCTCTGACTTTTAATTTTTTTCCCGAACTTTGTAATCAGAAAACAGAAGATGTCAGTTTTCTTAAAATCTTTAGAAGTTGAATGGGTAGTATCGTTTACTCTGTATGTTTGTGATTTAATCATTGGCTAGACTTCTGTATCTGCTCAAACTATTTGAAGCCAGACAAGTCTCTCTAGTTGAAAGAATTTGTGGATCAGTTTGGAATATACATCTCCCAGAGTGATTTACATCTAGATGATTTCAGAGTACAATTCTATCAATACTTATATAAAAAACTTTGAATATAAGCATATACAGAAATGGAAGATCATTTGCTTCACACCAGGTTATATTCTGTTAGGAGGCTATCTTGCATGATTTAATCTTGCTAACTTCTATTCACAGCTTAGTGGTTTACTCTAGTTCCTTTTGACTAGTCTTGGTTTTAGGGGAATGTCCGTATGTGTTTGAGTTACCTGTCCATTTCTGAGCTACAGAAGAGAAGGAATGACAGAGTCATGCAGCAAAACCAATTTTAGTTCATTTTACATTTCAAAAAAAAAAAGTGGATGGCTAAAAAAAATTACTTTTAACTGTTAAAATTACACGTTATTAACCTGATTTTTTTGTGTATAATGTTCTTATTTACTATTTGCATATTCACAGCTGTTCTTTCACTTACAAAGAGAACGTTCCTTTCCTGAGCACAGAGCCAGATTTTATGCTGCTGAAATAGCCAGTGCACTGGGCTACTTACACTCCATAAATATAGTGTACAGGTAAGTTTCTGAAATGTATCCTTGTCCTGCAGCAGTTCAAAATAGGACAAATTACTGAATAAAAACCACTATATGAAATCAGCTTATGGGAAACTTGAACAAAACAATTTCACTTGAAGCTTTCAGCTGAAGAATAAAAGTCCTTGCCTCTGAAGCTCTTGTGTTAGTGACTGCTGTTTTGAATTAATCCAGTTATTTTGTATTTTTTTTAATAGGGACTTAAAACCAGAAAACATTCTCTTAGATTCACTAGTAAGTATGCAACATTATTTTTGATTTCCGTGTTCTCTCGCAAAATTGACACTTATATGTATCCACATGTTAAGCATGTTCTGTTTTTAAAATACCACTTTTTCTTAAACAGGGTCATGTTGTGTTGACAGACTTTGGACTTTGTAAAGAGGGGATTGCAAGTTCTGATACCACTGCAACTTTCTGTGGGACACCAGAAGTATGTTGACAACTTTTGTGGTTTTTTGGCTAGTAGTTAATGACTGTTGACTATTACTAATATTTGTGTAACTGGAAGATCAAATATTCTGTTTTGTACTGTTGGACATTTGCATTCTTTTAACAAGCTCTTCCATGACACCAAACCAAAGACAGACTTCCTGCAGATCTGTTCTTTGTCCTTTTTACTAATATGCAGTGTCTCCTGCTTACTACCTGCATCCCCATAACTCATCTCTTCCTTCCTCCCTTTTTCCAACCCTTTTCAAATATTGTTTCCTCCCATGTCTGCTAACCGCTGGGTAGACACAGGACAGTTAGCTTGTGTAACACCTGCAACAGATTTGCCAGTATGAATTTACTTACCATATCCTGTTGCTGATTTTTAGTAAGTTTATAGGGACTTAATATCTGTGAGTCTTGAGAAAATTTTGCATATGCATGAAACTTTGAACTTGCTGACGGAGTTTATTGAACTCTGTTGTCTTTTTACTGGGAAAACTGCGCTAGAAAACTTAGAATCTGGAAGTCTTGAACACATGTGAGGGATTCACTGAAATGGCAGGATTAATGGCTTTGATAATTTGATAGTATTTAGCTGAAATATTTGAACTAAAAAAAAAAAAGGCAGGTGGCAACGTGTGACAACTTATCCTAGTTATGATCAGAGTCGGAATCCATAAAGCTGAGTGGTAAATGTCAGCTGAAACAATATTTGTTGAATATTTTGAGAAGTTCAAAGGACAATATATAGACCACTCGTAACTCTGGATCTGTTTGAGAAAATCTGTGGGTGTGTTTTTTTTCTCATGTTCAGAGGCTTAGTCTTCACACTTACCTTGGACTTGCATGAACTGTAACATAAGAGGATGCTAATGCTGTTGCTTCATCTGCATTCTTAAAAATATCAAGACTAAACATAGCAGTTGTGTATTAGCCTTTCTAATGCAAGATTTAGATTCAAATCTTTTGTAATCCTGCTAAAAGTGTAATAATCTTTTTGGTGTTTCTAAGCATTGAATTGCATGACTTGGTGAGTTCCAACACCTAAAAAGCTCAAAGGAGGTTGTGAAAGATTAAAAAAAGTTGAAGTAGTTGATTTCAAAATACTTCAGCTGCTTTTTATGCTTTTGCAGAGTCATCTATAGACAAATGAGTTACAGGGCACTCACACATACAGAAAGTTTGAGAAATACTGATCTAATTAAACTGTGAGTTTCAGTCTGCCTTGTCTGACAATGCTATCATCTATTTGTAAATTTAATTTCAGAATTTGCATGCTAGAGTGGTAGAGTGAGCATCCTCTTGTTGTTAAGAGGTTAGAAACTGCATGTGCTGTAGATGAGGAGTGAGATGATGATGATGCAGCCATAGTAATTTTATATTACATATTCACAAGGAATAGTCTCGTATTATGAAGTGGCTGTCCTCGTGCTATAGTGTTAGTAGGCTGTGAGATGCTGTGTAGATTTCTTGCAAGGCAGATGGAAATCAGTCAGCACTGTCATTCAGTATTTGATGGTATGGGATGTTTATCACAAATCAATCAAGTGATACCTATTTAACAAGAATCTCTGTTTAGCAAGTCACAACTCATGCCCTCATTGAGATTTACAGTGGAAAAATGTAAGTCATACAATTTCTCAATAGTGATAGATTTGAGGCAGAATTAATACCTTCTCTTTCCATTTTAATGTACTGGGTGGGGAGTATACAGGCTTAGGATGATAGAATAGGCATGGCTAGTAGCCAGCTTGCTGAAGGATGTTGCCTCTGCAACAGTGCAGCAACCTGTCTGAAAAGTAAAACAAGTTTCCTAATAGAGGTGGCAAAGTAGTTTCGCAAAACAATAGTGTGTGTGAAATATTGTTTCAGTTGGGAAAACAGCTGTCCTACTCAGTAAATGACCAGATAGTGACAAAGTATTTGCCAGGTTTGTTGAAGGACAAGATAAATGTTCAGCAGTCTTAGAATTGCCATGAAGCAACTTTTCCTGAAGCTGTTTACTGTGATGTGACTAAATCTTAGGTTTTATTTGTGCTAACCTAATGCTCTGAAATACTTCTTTTTATTTTTTTTTTTTATTTTATTTTAGTATCTTGCACCAGAAGTCATTAAAAAGCAGCCCTACGACAACACAGTAGACTGGTGGTGCCTTGGTGCAGTTCTTTATGAAATGCTTTATGGGCTGGTATGTACTTAATATGTGTAGGGGCCGGGGTTGCTTCCCTCTCCTCTCCCCCTTTATGTGAAGTAACCCTGGCGTGTTGTTCAAGATGCTAACTTATGCAAAATACTGAAATACTCCACTTAAATGGATGAACAGTTTGTCTTAGCATAGTGCCTGTTTTTCTCTGGATTTTGGATTGCCTCTTGATGTCTAAAATATTGCTTTCCAGTGAACTGCTGGACATCAACTCCGATGAAGACAAGTAGTCATCACTTTGAGGGAATGTGAGAGTAAATTCTATGAACAGTGATAATACCCAATTAAAAATCCCAACTTATAAGTAAAATTTTGCCAAATACTGGAATAAATAAAATTAAAAGACTTTCTTTTACTTAGATCTCCCAGGTTTTCTCCTAGCTTTTCCACTTCTTGATGCAGCATTAGAACAAAAAAAATCTTGCTATGCTTCTTCTAGTCATATGTAATTACTCCAGTAACAACCTGTTCTGTTAGTTTTCTTGAGTTCATAGGACCTTAAATAGGGAGATAGATTTGGTTTTCCACTCTCATGTTCTTTTCAGGCAAGTTCAGTGGGAGCTTTGAAGCTGGATGGCATCTATGGCTACTTATGAGTGTGAGAACATGTTATGAGAAGAGGAAGTGGGTGGAGAAACCATCGAGTGTAAAGGTCTGACAGCGGTGATGACTGAATTAGAAGTTGGCAGTTCATAAGAAGAGGCAGACTACTTTGCTGCTAGCAGCTTAGATTTCTTCTAGAATTGTTTACTGATCATACACATGAAACAAAATGTTGCATGTGGCTTCAAATTCATGTATAACGTTTGTTTTTTAGCCTCCTTTTTACTGCCGTGATGTTGCTGAGATGTATGAGAATATTCTTCATAAACCCCTAGTTTTGCGCCCAGGAATCAGTCTTACAGCCTGGTCTATTCTGGAAGAACTTTTGCAGAAAGATCGGCAAAGCAGACTTGGAGCAAGGGAAGATTTTGTATGTAACATCCTAATTTATCAAGCCCTACTTCACTTAAAGGGACATCACCAAATTTATGTGCACAGCACAGTTTAATAGTTGGAGACAGAGATTGCTCTGTTATGTCTGTCTCTGTTTTCCTCCTTTTTATTTCTTTGTTAAAGACACCAGTGTGGTCAATCCCTGAAAGTTGTTGGGGATAGGAGAGAGATGATTGTTGTGGGTTATAAATATTTTGAGCTTGGTTGCTGCTGTACCTACCAGCAAAGGAAACACAATTCCTGGTGCAGTAGTCACTAAGGTGTGCTAAGGTAGATTTCACTGTTGGTAGTGAAACTGGAAAATAATCAAAAGAAAAGGCTATTTTCTGGTAATGTCAGTTTAACTAACTACATGAAAAACAGTCTTCAAATAAAAGAGGAACACTGGTACTGTGTAAAGCGCAGCCCTTTTTTTTTTTTTTTTTTTTTTTAGCCTTAAAATCATGGCTAATGTTTTCCCAGTGTAACAGCAAAAACTTTGTGTGCAAGAAGGTGATGTGAGAAAGTATAGATGTCTTCAGAACTGTGTGATGAGGAGATGAGGAGTGGTCTAGAAGGACTTCCTCTATCCATTAATTATGAGATCTTTATAATCTTCTGTTTGCACTCTTAACATTAGGTAGTCTGTTGACCTTGTAACAGTGCCTTTAGACTATGACATCATACTTTCTCACAGTGTGGAGTAAGATGAAAGGATGGTAGCATTTAGCATAGCTGTTTGCCGCTTCTCAGACAATGATCTGCTTTTACAAAAAACAACAAAACTTAATGGCAGGAGCAGAGATCCTAACTGAAGTCATTCTTGCTTTGTGGTAGACTTCAAGGTGGTTGATTTTAAGGCTTAAAAGCAGAAAATATGATCTTAAAAGGAAACCAGTTTGTAGAGGCAGGCTAACAAAGTTTAATTGCCATTTTTAACCAACTACAGCTTTTATTGCAAAGCAAACTGTGAATAAACAAACTGGTGAAGGACTTCCTTAAGGCGTGCAGTCTTAAGTAGTATTTACTATGATGCACAGGATGGATTTCTGAAATACCTAAAAATCTTTATTCCTTACTACAGCTTGAAATTCAAAAGCACCCATTCTTTGAATCTGTCAGCTGGACTGATCTTCTTCAGAAGAAGATTCCACCACCATTTAATCCTAATGTGGTAGGTGCCTGGTGCCGTTTTAGTTCATACCTGCCAAATTTCTGCCTTTGAGGGCTCATCTATTTGCAAAGTATGTTTGTTTCAGAATGGTGAAGAATGGGAACCCCCCAGTGCTGACTGGCCTTTTAAGCAGTGATACTGTCTTTTTTAACTTAAAACTGTTTGATATATCGCTGTTTCCTCTGCTCATTCCTGTCAAAGTATTCTCAATTTTTGTGGGTTCTGAAGACTGAAGAAGAAAATACAGGTAGCCTCTTTATTTGAAGACTTTCTGAAAGACTTATTTCCTGCTTTTTTGTAGTTATCGAGCCTTAGTTGCAGCTTTTCTTTATCCTCCCATCAGTTTAAAATGTGTCAACCTGTGACTGCTTCTCCAGAAACTTGAGGGGGGTGGGGACGGGATGGATGATGGAGAGGAAGTCCTTCCTAAAGGCACATCAGCGCATTACCTTTTGTTGAGTCTGTGCCTGTTTGGTGAAGGAGCCTAAGTTGTCTTGTGTCCTCTCTCTGTGACTAAATATTGCTATGCTTTAGTTCTTAGGTGTGTTGCTGGAAATCTGATCTATCATAACAGTACCATTGCTAGAATTTAACATTTAAAATATTATTGATGGAAAAGGGAGCAGGAGAATTTGGTGTGGTTTGGGCTTTGAGTTGCATGTTGTTTGGGGCTTTTTTGGTGGGTTTTGGTTTTCGGGGTTGTTTTTGATTGTGAGGGGGTTGGGGAGCAGGGGCTAGTTTTTGCGTCTCCCTAACAGTCATTTAAGAAAGAGACATTTCTTCATATTTCTTAGGTTTATCAGATCATAAAGGTGTGTGGGCTTTGGCCTGAACTCCAACCTACAAGAAACAAGTAGGCTTTTAATAGGTGTTTTCAGGAATGCTGTGGTGTGCTTCCTTAAATTTCCTGTACTTAAATAGGAAAGAACGACGTAAAGTAGATAGTCTGAAGAGTTTAATTTGAGATCTAAAGGACAAGAGCAAGTTTAAAACAGTAATAATATGACAACGGATGTTTCTGTTTTCTAGGTCGGACCAGATGATATTGGGAATTTTGATGCAGTGTTTACGGAAGAAATGGTCCCATACTCAGTTTGCGTTTCTTCCGATTACAGCATTGTTAATGCCAGTGTCCTAGAGGCAGATGATGCATTTGTTGGATTTTCTTACGCACCACCTTCTGAAGATATGTTTTCCTAGGAAGTTAGAAACCAACAGTGTTTTGGAAGTCTTGAGGTGAACTGAAATGTTAGGGTTATGGACACATTCCAAAATAGTGTAACTAGTGCCTCGTTTTGTATGTAGGTTTGAAACCTATGAACAAACTTTCTCTGCTGTATAGGAGGAATTTGGGCGTTTTGGATGGCTTTCTTTGGGGTTTGAAGTGTTTGTTCCTGCTGCAGAAAATATTTTTTAAAACCTTTAAAAAGCATTCTTTACGTATTTTTTAAGTAAAAACACTGACTGTTCTCCTTGGTCCCTTCAAGTTTACATTCATACCTATCTTAAGATTTGGCTGGAACAAACAGCAGCGAATTTAGTAAATTTATAAATTTATAAATGCTTTTGTACCTATTTACAGTGACTTTGTGCTTGAATTGTAACTATGCAAATCTTTTGTATATCCTGGTTTAAAAACGGTAAATGTTTCCCTCTTCTATCAGTTTGAAATATATGTTAATTTACCTGTCAGCACTTAAATGAGGGGTTAAGACCTCATAAGTTAAGACCAAGATTCTTCAAAGGACTGCTACAGAATGAAGTTGGTCATGTAAAACTAGATTGTTGCTCTTGCGCTTGCCGAAGTACCCATTCACTCAACTGGATTATCTGAGGTATGGACGATTACTCAAAGCAAGGGTGGCACAAATTAACTGGATTGATTTGATAACATTACTGATCATGTGTTCTACTTTCCTTTCCTCTCTGAGATAAATACATCTGTATTTCAACTACATTAAAAATATTTTTGATTAAAACTCTGCTTTTCCAAAGATGTAATATGCAATAATCACTTACTTTAAAAGGCTATCTTGCTTTGACCTTTTCAGGGTGGGTGGTGTGGGGATCATGCCAACTACTAGGGATTTTTCTCACTGATTTATAGTTTGAAACACTAATATGTTCCAAATTGATTGTATTTCAACATTTATAACTACTTGTCTTTGTGTTCCAGTTTGCACCATTTTTAAATCTTCACTTGACATTAGAGGGGAAAAAAAATGTAAATTACGTTGATAATTTTAAAAATGTGAAAAGCTGTTGTATTTCTCATAATATACACGTGTCTAGACAAACTGATAATTCTGAACAATTTCTCCTTGAGGAAATTTTTAAACAATGCAAAAGTTGACTGCAGTTATGGTGTATAAAGGCCTATCACGATAGTAGTTTTATTATATATAATTACTTGTAAATAACAACTTATTTTTGTCTGTTACTTCAAAAATGTTCTGTGGTTTTTGTTCATAAATACATTCAGTTAAATGCCTTGATTTGAAAGAAGGCTGATAAGACACTGATGAGTAGCCAGAGTTGAATGTTAGATAAATTTCAATATCTAAATAATCTCAATTTTCACAAAATAAGAACTAGCTAAGAGAAATGCTATCTATATTGCATCAAGGTCAGTCAAAAATTGAGAACGTTGGGGAAAAAAGTGTATCAAATCATAGTTCTTTTGAAATTAATGTTGTGTCAACAGTGAAACATGAGACAAGTGGAAACTAAAACAGGATTCCTTGCTTCTCTCAAGGAGTATCTCCTATAGTCCCATCTCCTGCATAGTGCTTAAGTGATGCTGAACAGTCGCTGGGTGAGGTGTTGGAAGGAGTGGTTGAGTAAAAGAAGAGTTGACCTTGGCATGGAAGGAAGGAACTGTATTGTTTGTGGGAGTGGAATGATGGCTTGGTGCTCATTTTCCGTAGCGCTGCTCTGTGAAGGTTTGAGAGGTTTGGAAAGAGCTGTGCAGCTGTTCAGGACCACCAACAACTACATGAATCCTGTTCTTGCAGTTACAGTCATTTGGAAGCGACAGCCTTACCTTGGTGTTCTTTTTTTTGTTTTTTTCTTTTTAAACATAGGTCTTTCTGATGGTCTGGAAAGCAGAAATTTATTGTAAGAAGGGAGGTATCCATTCTCATACTGAATTTTTACTCTGTATACTCCTGACATTATTATGGGCTACTGTAACTTCCTTCTCTTTTTGGCAAGGAAGTACAGTAGTGTAGAGAGATGGGAAGGAGAGGGGATACTTCAGAGGTTGTTGCTGTGGGAGCTTGCACCCCTTTTAGCTTCTTTGTCTTGTATTTCCAAGAGGTCTATACCTAGCTACCTGACTGGGTGAGGGGTTTTGGTTTTTCTTTTTTCTTTTCCTGTGACAAATTTGCCCCCCCCCCCAAAAAAAAAAAAAAAGACAGTGGTAGTTGAAGTTATTTCTGGGAGAACAGCTTAATACTTCCTTATTAAGCTTTGTACTGCCTTTTTGGTGAAGTGTGAATGTGTTAAACATACCACTTGTAATAGTTAAGTTCACTTTGTTTCTTCTAGTACAAGTTCATGTTGTGCAATGCCTCAGTCAGATCAGATAACAGACTCTGTGTACAATATCAGGCTATAAAGCTTCACGATACTTCTGTATCTAGTGCTCTTGTTCTGCATCTCTCTGCATTTTGTGATGATGGCTTTCAAAGTAAGACAAGTAGGTTCGGAGTGTAGTAGCCCCTTCACCCAGTGCTGAGCTGAAAAGTGAAATCTGAAGCACTAGTTGTGGTAAAGCCTAGATAGGAGATTGTCGAACAACCTGCGCAGGAAAACCACCTGCGGTACTCCCTTCATGTTTTGGTAGATAGGTAGTAAAGGGAGGTAAAATTTGTCATCTTGTGACTAATGCAGGGGTTTTTGTCTGTCCGTAGCAAAAGGGGATTGTGCCTCCCCTTACGGAGAGGTGAATCCGAATCCCGTGAGGAGTGGGCCTTCTCTCCTGGTGCTATGGAAGCAAAGGAACTATGCCACAGCCTTTGTGTTCTCCAGTCTTTTGGTCTGGGAGGAGAGTGAGAGAGACAAGACTAAGATGGACTGACTGAAATGCATAGCAGTTGTGTAAAAAAAAAAACACTAAACAAAACAAACACCCCCCCCCCAAAAAAAAAAACCAAAAACAAACAAAAACAACCCCTGAAATAGAACAGAAAAAGAGAGTTTAGAGGTGCTGTTCTGAGAGGTAAGTTTGCAGATGGCTGGCATGCTGAAGGCAGCAGTTAAATATACAATATTTATTAGTGAAAGAGGGAAAATAGTTTTACAAACATGTTGTCTTTTAGTACTTGTCAGTGCATGACCCTTTTCTAGTGACCTTCCTAGGCCATAGTACAGCGAAGGCAGTGCACCCCACAGTAGCTGTGTGCATAATGGGGCAGAGTCATCCAGAAGAGGTGGTGGCTGATGGGTAACGGGTGGGCCTGAGTTTTGCCTTCACGAAGGCGTCGGAGGAGGTGTGTTCGACATAGGCGCTGGCCTTGAGAGGCCTGGTGGCA